TGTCATATGGATGCATATTTAACAAAAAGTGTATATCAGTGATATTAAATTTCCCGCTGGGATAAAACAAGAAATGATCTTTTAATTTAACACCATCCGCTGGAGACATCTAAATAATGAAAATTTGTGTCTTGAGGAATGGCTGCTATCAGAGGGATCCGGATACTGGGCCTATTTGGGGTTTGTTAAGGGACAGTTTTAAATAGGATTCCTTTCAGAGCACAACATTGAGAGAGATGATTAGCCCAGCGAGTTTGCCTGTGGTTATGGACGGGCTACTTCCACCATCAACATTTGGTGTCTGGCTTCTCCGATCTCACAAACAGGACACCAGCGTATCTGCATATACGGAGCTGGCCTTAGGGAAAAAGTGTTTCACAGCTCCCCAAAAACCTTTTAACGTCTCATTTGATGCATGTTTTTGGTGGGGAATAAAAAAAAAACAGGTTTCGGAGGGCAGCGTTTTACATGTGCTTTAACACATTGCGGTGCATCAGGCACTTGTTGCTAAAGAAATGCTGCATTTTATTCCATAGGGGAGTTAAAAATAATCATTGGAAGATTACTCTGTTTATGACTTGGATGCAGCTCGACTGTTAAGGAGTTATATGGATGGGTGGGAAATGGGCAGGTCCCATGTGTCCTTAACGCCTCAGGAGAGAGCTCCACAGACAAACAGTGGCGCTCAGCCATGAAGTCTCATGGTGAATTATGATTTTTCCATTAAGCAAGTCTCAAGTCCCCCTAGTGTCGATGAAAAACAGAAAAAAAATATTTATGCCTGGGCATTAGACCGGAGACATGAGGTCCATCCAAACATGATATATTCATCAGAAATTGTGCAGTGTTCCGATTGTATATTAGAAAGCTAAGTGTAAAAATGAGAAAAAAGGAGCAAAGATGACAGAAATGTTATCATACAATGAGCAAAAGAAAAACCCACTTATTAACGAAAAGTTCATTGGTAATGAAAATAGTGACATGACCTTTTTCTTTACATCTTCTCATGGCTCAATATTTGCTTTAGTTTATGCTATTTATCTCACACACAGGGGAGTGTAACTTATCCTGCCAACACACCAAAACAGGCCTAGAGATGTAAACTGCATCACCAACAGTCATTTAGAGTTATACACACTAGCATTGTCCTGGGCCAGAAGTTTCTGTAAGGCCTACATGCCAAACCTTGGCTGTCTGCCCTCTGTTTTTTTCTCTCTCAGAGCTGCCACCCAAATTGCTTGAAGGGATTTGAAGGAACTCCGCCACTGCACAATGCAGCCATCAGCTTAACATTAACCTCCCAAAAACACACGGTCGCTAAAAATCTCTCAATGTGTGTGTCCTGCCTCTCTCCACCGCGAGCGAGGAACAGCCAGTTACAATGAGGATGGCTTTCTTTTTATAGGCCACTGAAAATCTGCAGGGGATATGCCACTGTCAATAAATTGCATGAGCTGCCAAATACGTCACAGGGAGTGATTTATGCAGCGCAATAATACGAGGAAGATTTTCTCTATACCAAATTCAGATTTGTCAGTTTTTGCTTTTGGCAGACGCTGACTGCAAATAGACTCCAGAGAATGTGAATGGATGTGTCATGAAACTCACAATAGCAGTAAATAACATAAGGTCACTCAGTACTAACAAAGCCACAGAATAATGTGTTTTGCCTAATTTTCTTCCACCGTATAATTCATAGCGGACCTTTCAGAGTGAGCCCACCAACCATCTCTGTTGGGTAAAATACTGCATCTTCCAAATAATGAACCTGTACGTTGCATTTGTGGGTTTGTGGATTTTTGAATGATTGTGCGGCACCGAGAAAAGGCATGAAGTGTTAAATGAGGTGTAGCAGCAAAGCTGATTCCCACGGAGGTAACCTTCAATCAAACCTAAATCAAACCACTTCTGACAGAGCTCTGCCCCATTACGACAGCGTAAACCATGTACTACATAAGAACAACCGACTACGCTTCACAGAGCCCCTCCCAAATGAAGTGGAAACGTGACAGTGAAAGAGATAAAGAATGTCCCAAAAAAAAACAATATATCAAAAAATCATCAAAGCAGTCACAAAGTGTTTGTCCTCCTCTGCAACATCTATGCAAAGACGGGTTCTATTGGCCATCAGAAAGCATCTAGGTAGTACAGGGTCAGCGGTGGAGGTGAGGATATTGCACACGCAGACTAACGTCAACAACTCCATCGAAATGGCACAGCGCAGGCGTCACACTGAAGAATAAAGTTCTCCCCCCCCCCACATAAATGAACACTGTAAAAAATTCAAAAACGCTTTGTTATTGCAGCACACTTCCCTTCTTTTTTTTTTTTCTCTTTTTTTTTCTCCCCAGTATCTCTTTTTCAAACATCCACTTATTTTTAAAAATGCTGTGAGTCTTTGTTCGTGGTTCGTCGGGGAGCGGCTCGAGAGTGCATTTTGGCAGTTGAGTTCAAGTCTTGTTCAAGTCGGGCGCGTTGACAGCCGGGCGAAAAAGGGATTGGCCGAGCCGGACGGCCGTGAATTTTTTCGAGGTCAACGCAGTTGGTTTTTTGCTCCCCTTCTGCCCCACCCTGCCGAACCCTCGCCGCTAGCACAGTGACGCTGCGATCACATGCCGGAGGCCCCCAGTCCCATGCTAGCGGTGTGGCTCATACAGGGCAGTGTCTGGACGGTCTTGGGGAAGTCGTGGGTGAGGATTCGTCCGTTCTCTCCGCCGCTCCCGTTGCCGCTCATCCTGGTCAGGGTGGAGCAGCGCATGGCGTCGTTGATGGATTGCTGCCGCAGACAAACAGTCGACAGTTAGGCCAGCAGACCGCGTTTCAAACATCTGGAACAAGCGTTATATCTTGATCAAACAGAGAAAGCTAATGTAACAGTTAAAGCCTGAAGCACATTGAATTGTCAGGTTAGAAACAGACATGTTAGGCAACGTATCTGGGTTTCGTTACACAAATATGTGATCAGAGGAGGCCGTTAATGTTACGATCTGAGTGTGGCGCTTGCATACTAAGAAATCAAGCGGCAGGACTAGGAGTTGGGAGTCACAAAGCTCTCTCTTTCCAGTCTCCGATTTATTCGTGGGTGGCAAATTGTGGTGCTGGTCATTGTGCGTCGAGGATCCTAATTTGTAAAAGGACGAGTGTGGGCAGTGAGAATGGAGCCGGGGCTTCACACATTGGGTTAACGGCTTCATCCTTCCCCCCTCTGGCATATCAAAAGCCACGAGGATCAAAAGCTGACCTAATGATGTGTGACGCTGGCGTGCGTGTTAAGGTGGATGCTCGAGTTTAGCCCCGTGGCCGCATCCTCCTTTTTTATACAGCCGAGCGCTGCATGGGAATTGCAGAATTACCGCCGCCTCTAATTGAAACAATGTTTTGTTTCCTTCAAGTCAAACAGCGTAAATGCACTGCCGGACTAATAGGCTCCTCGCCATCCTCATCAGCATACTGATCAGGTGCCTCTACGTGGGCTGATTAAAATATAAGAGATTCATGTAGAAGATCACATCTTGTCTTGGCCCTGCCATGTATTTGTCAGGTTCCATTAAGAGTGTATGAGTGTGCCCTGAGGGGCTTTGATGTTGACATAATAAATCAAAAGACTGCTGGAAATTTGATTTATGGATGAGATGCCTAACAGCTACGATCTCACAGCTGCCGGGAGATAAATTGCACAATTTCCAGGGAAGAATAAAGCAACTATTCCTTCACTTTCACGTTTCGGAACAAACAACAACTTTGAGTTGTACCCTTTTAGGTAAAAGCAGCGATGAAAGACATGCGAACCGCACCAGGACTGCCTCATGGTATACATATAAACGATGTTCACCACAATGGGCCCTTTGTTTGCCAGACAGTCAGCAAAAAGAGAGGGAGGAGCAGGGGAGAGATTTGCTTCGAGCGACAGAGTTAGATAGATGTACCACTGTGATTCAAATTGCCTTCATACCTGTCACGCAAAGTCAAATTTGCTGAAAAAGTGTGCACAAAAGTATTGTAATGTTTTCTGTAAATTGATTTAACTGGTGGCCTGCCAGGAGCATTTTGATTGCGAAAAAAAGCACACGTAACCACACAATTTAAAAAAGGTGATTTCAAGAGCTGCAAGCTCAGTTATAGATATTTAGCACTACATAATTAGTCATTATTCCATGGTCTTCTGTTTGTTATAGATCTTTGTGATAAGCCACAGTGTTGGCTATGGTACCCCCAAAATCTTACTGTGGGTCATTCCATTATGTCTCATGTTTTGAGTGAGTTGAATTTATGCTTTTCTATGGGGAGATAAATCTGAATGACTGAGGAAGTTATAACCTTTTACAGGGATGCGTCAGGTTTAAATTGTCAGAATGAATAGTTGAGCAAGTTTTGATGTCCAAAAAGGGTACTTATAAAAGCAACAAACATAATTTTACAAATAGAGACAAATATGTATCTGTTCTATGAGGCTGCAATAGAAATATAATAGTAACAATTTCTTTGATTTCTGAGAAAAAGGTATTTACTTGAGTTTTGGGATGGCCAGAATGTATACACATGCCCTCGGGACGTTTTCTTTTTGTTTGCAATTGAAATATAAATAATACACATAAGAATCCTCCTCGTCATAAAGCTTTACCTTTTTCCCCAGTACAGAAAAAAAATCAACTGGCAATAAGTAAACATAGTCTATTTACTGAAATCTACATAATACATTTTTTTTAATAATCTCTGAGCATCAAGAAAACAGGCATGAGGACAATTTTGGAATCAAGTGATGAACAGCGCTGCAGGGGGTCAGTGACAGAGACTGAGCAGGGGAGGGGCTGAGGTAGAGAGGGGGGGACAGGAGAGCGGTTGCACTGCGGTGGAAGCCGTGAGAGGCCGTACTGTGATCACGGTTAGATGGGCGGGAGGGGGGGGGGGGGGGGGGGGGGGGGGGGGGGGTGGAGGCAGATGTCATCATCATCATGGTTTGATCACAGCGTTTCCTACCCCGTGGCTGTGCTCTGCCCTTATATCTTAACAGTGTTGTTGGCGTACAGGCCGTAGCTCTGCAGCTCTGTGTAGGGGGCGCTAGCACCACTGTCTAAGGCTGAGCAGTGAAAGGCCTGAGCGGCTGTGGCGGCAGCAGCCCGCGCGGTGGACACCTTCATTCGGCGCGACTCGGTCCTGGACTTGTAGCAGAACTCCACCAGGGCCACTAGCATGGCCAGGCCAAGGCCCCCGATTAAGATGTAGAAGACTCCCGCCACGTTGCTGAGGCTCAGAGCGCTTGTCTTGTCCTGGAGGGGACGAGGGGGCGTGAGAACAGGGGTAAGAGCAGACGGGTGAGAAGAGATAGTGGCAACAAAACACACGTTCAACAGCAGACACATTTCCCACAACACACAAAGCCTCAAAAACAAGAATCTCAACTGACTGCTTCCCAAAGTTAAAACAATTCAATAAAAAAAAAAAGAAACGCACACACTCACACGGCCAGACCAACGAGACTCACACAAATAACAATCAATGCAAATATAGTGCACAAGGACTGACGAAACATTACCACATACAGCAGGACAACATTATATTTAACCCACATGCCAGAGGGCCTGTCACACAAAGTAGGATAAATGTTATATATGCAAGCTGGATAAATGTGGATTCATTTTGTTTTTCTGATCTTGGAAATATAGCTAGAGTTAAACTTGGTAACTAGCAGTGGAGATGAAATATGTTCATATTTTTTTGCAGGCATGCAGCTGAAAAAGCTATCAGGAAACATTTAGTTTGCATCCCAACACAACAGGAAGACTCTAATGTCAGGGACGCTGAGGGAACGCTCCCCCAGAGCTGGGCATATTTTTCCATTTGTACCAGTGGAAACTTCAAAACTGTCATCAATTATTTGTACTGCTGCCAGTGTTCTCACTAAACATTAAATTCAGCAGGCAGCTGTAAAAGCCATTAATAAGATCTCCTGCTGCATGTTAATTGGAATGAAGAGCCTTCAGTGGCTGTTGACATCTATACTGGTTGACTCATTCCATCATTCCAGAAGCAGAAAGCACGACGCCACCCGATAACACAGTAATAAATATGATGTATTGTATCAGAGCCCAACTCCAAGCGGATTCTAATTGAAAATAAAAGAGTTATATCTGCATACCATAAATCAGTTTGAAGTGGTTTATTCAAGTTATAGTATGATAATCTCTTTGCCTTTTTTAAAAAGACATTATTCATGCGATTTGTCACCTACAATATGATATTTTGGTGTTTTATCTTGTCCTATAATTCGGTTTGTAATGTATTATTCAAGCGTTAAAGGAGACTCTTTAAATCCTAAATCTGCGTAAAGACACCTTGCATTCTAATAAGCAAGTCATAATAAGGATCCTAAGATATGTCACAGCTATTTTCAAACCCCATTTCCAGAACAGTTGGGCAACTTTCTAAAATAAAATGAAAACTTCACTGTGTAATTTCTTGATATAAATCCGCAGATTCGTTTGTGACAGACGAAAGTCTCAGAATGCAGTGGGGAAAAAAGGAATTTCCAACATAGGTTTGGAATTTGCACGAAAGGATGGGTCATCAGAGATTCATTGATCGGTTTAAAAAAATTAGTCCTCAAAAGCATGAGAAGAGCGTTGATCTTTTAGTGTCTAAACTCCACGATAAAGAGCTTGTGGAAATCTTAAGGACACAGACCACTGTTTAGGTATCATACACGCAGAGGCATATGTTATTATTGAGAGGTTTTTTTATTTCAGCACAACAATGACAAAGCTTGTTTTGTGTGACTTAAAGGCATCACCTCATATACAATTTATTCTCTGTGTGCTGGATCGCCCCCTGAAATAGTCCCAAGGTTGAGTGGATATTAGGCCTCAAACATGAAATGTTTGCAGACATGACTGGAGAGCTAAAAAAAACTGGTTGGTAAGCTTTCTGGAGAAGACACACCAGGAAATGCTTAATGTGTCCAACTCATTCAAGAAAATTTGAGAAAACATTTTGATTTGATGAATATTATCATTACCAGTACTTATTTGACAACTCTCAGAGAAAATTAGTTAACTCTTCACCTGTTAGACGATAATCATCTACTGAACATTTGTCATTGTTGAAAATTATTGCGTTACTCTAAAAAAATCTACTTTGTATCTAACTACTTCCTGTGAGTTTCACATGTGCAGCTACTCATTCTCAAAGTGTTTCTTGTGCATTTTTTTTGCGGAAAATAGTTTGACACCTCCGCATCAAAATGTCAACAATCAGTAGAGGGCTACAAATTCTTGTCAGATTCAAAGTTTCACGCCGAGGTGACGTGAAGAAAACCGAAGAGCCGTAGCCTAACTGTCAGGGAAAACAGCAGGTAATGACGCCTGTAAATTTAATGGCATAGCTGATGAGGTTTAAGGTTGATGTCGTAAACTGAGAGATTATTATGATAGGATTATTTCAAAGGCCAGAAGGCAAATATTATTTCCCAGCATGATGAATAAATTCTTCACCTGCCATCATAACATGCCTTGTACTCTTTCTCTGAGGAAATAATTGTATTCTGATAAATTGTGGTCAGGCTTAGTTGATTTTACATCTACTTTGAAAATGCGCAGTCATCTCAACACTATTTTTGTGTGCGTCTAGGTGTGTTTGATGGGTTGGAGCACTTTATAAGCCTACATGATGAGCAAGGTTAATATAAGTATAGGGAGATTTTAACAATGCTCTATAATCCATCACATAATACCTGATTTACACAGTGGGAAAGAACAGTGAATCTCTGACAACAGCATCTCATCAGGGGAGAGAAAAAAACAAAAAAAATACCAGAGTACTGGCCCAAATGTAAGACATTCTTGTCTGGACATGACACGGTCAAACATGTGAGTCCTGCCACATTAGAGGATCATATTTTTGTAATTATTTGATACTCATACAACCTCTGTGCTGCAGAGCGTTAATTAAGTTATGTGTTGAATGAGCTGGTTTTAGTCTTTTCCATCCAGAGTTTTATTTTGGAAACTGCCTTGGGCTGACTCAAGTTGTGGATTGGCAGCATATGGATGAGCTGAACTGAATTTAAATGATCCTGCGTTTACATACAGGATATCTGCCACCTCTGATCTGCTGTACCATATTACATTTCCACTCAACGCATGGCCCTGTTCTTACACAGTAGCTTCCTTTGAAGTAGGCGGTAGAAAATATTCATCCACGTGAAGTAAGAAAAACAAATTTCTATGTGTTACCTACATGTAAAAACTGCATGTGCTGATAAGTGTTTGCAATTCAGCAGCGGGAGTAATAGAAGTTGTTTGATTGATCATTTCAACAACAGAAATGAAAATTATCTAATCAAATGTAAAATCATATTTATTTTTTCATAATTCTTTTCACTTTTATGTTACCGTAAACTATAAAAACAATAGTGAATACGTAAAAGTTCTGAGTATCCTTCTTTAAATGACTAATCATTGTTATTGTCAGTACTTGTCTTGCATTCGGGCCGATACCTGGTACTACTGGAACCACATAGGGGGTAGATTTCTGCAGGGTGGAGGCTGAGGGCTGGTTTTGGTGCTGGTTTAGAATCAGGGCAGAGTTATGCTGGGGGGGGGGGGGGGGGGGGTGCGGTGAGGTGACAGGTTTGGGTTGGAGACTAACCTTTCTTGCGGCGTCGTTGCTGCCACACTCCCCTTTATCGTACCACCATTTGTTTTTCAGTTTGTCTAAGACGGCTTGCTCATTGAGTTTCAACACCGCTAGGTTTACTGGGATTCTTCCATCCATAAGGAAATAACATAAATAACATATTATACCATGTTATTTTATGTTATTAATTCAGAAACACAACAGCAAAATACATCCATACAAAAATGCTTGGGCTAGCTTGCGTATAGGTAAAGAAAAAAAAAAGCCATCACACACATACACACAAATATGCAGCATAAACATCATTATAAACATTGGAGTCAAAGTGATATTCATTAATACTCCATCTAGCTCGGGTGGCTGGCTCCTTAAGGCAGTAGATGTGTATTACTATATCACTTTGGGTAACCGGCACACTGCTTTCCTTCACTTGGACAACACAAACTTTTATTTATTTATTTTTGTGCTGAAGCAGAAAGTTAATTTAGCCTCATTGTACTAATAAACCAGAAAAAAATTCACATTTAACAAACTCGTCCATGCTGTCTTAGGAAATGGCCACGCATGGAGATCTCTGTTGCTTGAATTACTGATTAAGTTAAAATGATTTTTGGTTTGCTTTAAGCAGGAAAGTTGCTTGAGGTGATCTCACATAAGTTCCTCAGTAAGTGTTGCTGGAGTGAGTGAGGCGCGTGGACCTGCCGGTTACCCCCCCCCAACCCCGTCACCCGCAGGGTTTATCAAACTGGCTCTGACCTTGGAGTCCCCGCCCCCGCTGCCGCACTCTCCCTTGTCGTACCACCACTTGTTTTTCAATTTGTCCAAGAGGCCCTGCTCGTTCAGTTTTAACACCGCCAGGTTTACTGGATTTCTTGAAAATAATATGAAATGATAGCCATTAGGAGACAGTCTATGGGACAGATATAAAAAGATTGGTCGGATGGCGGTGGCGATTATGACAAGGCTGACTAGTTGTTAGGCTTTCTCTTGCTCCTGATATGAAGCAGGAGTTCTGGTTTTTAATGCACATGTTAGATGCATTCTTGCATTGGGCTGAAACGCTTGAGTGCCCGTACAAGTAGTAGAGACAGGTTTTACCAAGCGGGGGCCTTAGAGAGAGGCAGAGCATGCACTCCTAATCGAGACATTTTAGATATGACAGTCAAGTCTGGAGATAGTCATTTCCTCTCAGATGTCCCAGCACACACATTGCTATGGTAACTAACCTATCAAAATTCAACCATAACAGTATTCTGGTGAATAGAGCCTTAAATCGATTCGTCCATAACTATCAACAGAGCCACATGCAGCCTGAGGCTTTCAATTGTTGGAGCAGGCAGGTTTGTTCTGAGTGCATTCTTTCAACAGGCTGAGAGGAAAATTTGTGTCCATCTATAGCTGGAGTCCGGTACTCATCCAGTGTTGCTCTCTCTCTTTCTCTCTCTCTGGTAGAAATGTTTGTGCGTATTTCTTATACTGTGGACAAAGACTCTCCATCCACTAACTGCAGAAAGGCAGAATTTACATTACAGAATTTTACATTTATGGCTCCCGTGTCCGTCACTACATCAGCAGCTGTAAAGAGAATGTATTTGTTTTTTGTGCTATTCTGCCTTTCTGTTTAGAAGGCACTGAAAGAGCCTTTAGTCTCAGCATCGAGTGCACAACACAGCTATAGGGAAAAAATATTTCCACAGGGCTGGTAAAACCTGAGATTTCTTTCTCGGCCCAGAACATTCAGACAAAAAGAAAGAAGTCATAGTGTATGGGCATGAATGGCCTGAAGACCTACAGAGGTAGTGCTTAGTTTGGTCAGTTTGTGAGGTTGAGCAGGTGTGAGGTAGGCTTCAGGATGTTACTGGGATGGGAAAAACTGACATGAGGCTGGTTGAATGTCACACATGTAAGAAATTGAGCGGCAGCACAAAGTTAGTACAAAAAATTAGATATGTTGATCAGCACGTGTTCTCTGAGGATGTTCCTGTAAAATGAAATCAACACAAAGTGCTTATAAAGTGTCACTCAATCAAGCCTGCATTGCATTATGGATGATATAAAGCAAAAAAAAAAACAACGAAACAACATACAATACAGTGCAAAAGTCTTGATATGGACCTTATTTCTTTATATTTTGCAAATCTTAATTTATTTAATTTTTTTTGCCATTTAACACTGTCATATAAATAATTCAGTTGCAGATATAGTATTCAAAAACACATTGCAGGTATGATTGCACTTAAATTCATAGGCACTTCACAAATTATACATGAGCTTTAAAAAAATGAAACCATTCAAATCGGCCATGCACCTATTCCACTCATCCAGTTATGAATGTTTGTTAGCTGTAAAACAAAACACGGCATCAGACATTGGTAAGTGATCCTGATAGCAACCGCAAAATGACATCAATTACCCACCAATTAACACAAAGAGAGGTAGATAACGTTGGCCATCCTCAGCTGTTTAAAGCTGCATCCTGCTGCTATATTGTGGGTCTGGACCAACTGCACTACATGACTCGGGTGCAGATTAATTCTACCACCTGCCACTAATCACTATCCCTAATGCAGCACTTACTTCTTGTATAATATCAGATTTGCATGAAATTTAAAAAGGAATGAGTCTTAAGGAACATTCTGAGTTAGTATCCTGACCTCTGGCTGTCAGCCATGGTGGAAACCTGAGTGAATCCCCAGCCAGACTGAATGAAACCTTCCTTTATGGCTCCTTTCATTAAAATGAATGAGGCCTATTAGAGACAGATTAAAAGCTTCAGATGCCACCAGCATCTGCACTCTCTCTGTGGTTGTGGGAGAAATATAAATGGGAAGTTGGTTAAGGTGTTAATGTAATGTGAAATGACAGCTGTTGCTCATCGATGGCAGAACTAAACCCAGAATGAATTATCATTCATTAGATCATTTATCACATCAGATACGAAAAATCCAACTCAATGACTTCACATTCAAGGTGTGAGCCCTGGCTTAAGTGGGAAAGTAGTTATTTGAGATGTTGACTCTTTAAACTGTAATCCGGCCTCAGGTACTGGGCTGTACATTTATGTTGAGCTAATCTATTTGAGGGGCGTACATCAGATCAAAGCAGCATTAGATAATACACATCATCGGTTAAAAAAAAGAAGAAGTTTGGAATGTTATTAGAAAGCTCCAGTAACTGTAAGTGTGACTTACTCCTACTTCACACTTCTGCTAGTGCTCACAGGTCAGCTTGAATAGGGCTAGCATATGCACACACAAACAAAGACGGCCGGCATGATCAAGTTGTTAATGTGAGTGTTTGTGATGTGTGGAATGGATGATCAAAAAAAAACAAAAAAAGTCTGATGACGACTTTCTGAGTCATGCCATGCTGTCAGCATCTTATCAGCTCGAATTAGCAATGGAGAGCAGAACATGTCAGCAAACATGCTGTGGTATCATGATGAAAAGATGAATAATTGAATTAAACTGCATGAAATCTCTCAAAATCAGTGCGAGTTCAAACTCGCACATCAACAGAGGCTGAAAACACTTCATTCAATGGACAGGCGAGGGATAAAACGTATGATCTAGCACTCAAAAGAAGCAACTGAAGGCTCCGATTTAGCCACAGCACAGCGGCAGGGTTTACCTGAGAGGCGATCCCTTGGGTGTAGCGATCCCGTAACCTTTAGAATCCAGGTTGCCGCCCACCTTCATTGTGTCACAGGGTTTCCTTTGCTCTATGTACTCATTCATGGTGGACTCCAGCAGGTAGGCATACTTGCCCTTGGACTTGCGGACTCTCATCACGCCCTCGTCGGTGGTCTTGACGAACACTGATGGGTCGGCTGACTTCATGTAGGACCACATCTTCTCAAAGACGGCGATCTTTGACCTCTGACAGCAACAACAGGGAAGGAGCGCCATTTTAAAATCATGAATTTTCTACCTATATGCTGCAAACTGAGAGTCACAGACAGCAAAAATACATTTTCAGCTGCTAAGATTAAAAAAAGCACTTGTACAGTAAAACTTGTAAGAAAAATCTTTGGCTGGGAGTTTATCCTTGGATTCTGTCAGGCACCACCTACAGTCTCAGAAAAGCACAGACTGCTGACAGCACTCAGAGCACCGGCAGGGCAGAGTTAGAGCGGGCAGGCCGGCCGACAGTTTGCATTTCTACTTTTGGAAAAATGGATTGAAAAGAACACATTACAACCCTGACACTAACATCTAGATAGGACTCTATTTGATTTAGCGTCCTCCATTTTCATCCTTTCTTTCAAACATTCATGACTGAATTACCCTATTATGAAAAGTGAAAACAGGGTGACTAGGAAGAGTCTGGAGTTATTGAGGTAGAAAGCCATTTTTTTTGGTGGTTTGCTTTGGGTGGGACTGGATTAGCATATTCATTTACACCACTCATGCAGCACTTTATTCTGGGTAGTTGAAAATAGTTGGTCATTTTAAACCTTAGGGACAGAAACTCACATTTCTGTGAGTAATACAGAAACAGGAAATTGAATGGCTTCATCACTGGGACTCATCAATATAATAACTGTTGGAGTATATCTTTGCTTCCTTACCCTGAAGAACTCTTTGGTGGAGCCAGCATCCAGCGTCCCATAGGCAATCTCTGTCTGCTTAGCCAGATCCTCTGCACTTTCTATTGGAGATACCATCCTCTCCACTGTGAGGAAGGCAGCCAAGTTGGCAGTGTAGGATGAGATGATGATGAGGGTAAAGAACCACCACACTCCACCAACAATGCGGCCCGAAAGAGACCTAAATAAAAAAATAAAGAAAACAGATGGAGAGGATGTTGTCGGCTCATCAGAATTAGTTGCCATATGTGGAAGACACGGTCTGAATCCAAATCAAGTGGATCCTTAATTCACAAAGACAGTTAATTATATGTTTGAGTGGAAATGAAGCAATAAATAGCACCAGTCTTTTTCTCTTTCTCTCTCACCTTTACATACAATCAATAAGAGCAATCTAAATACCTTGTGATGTTCAAACATCATGAAAATGACCTACATTGCATCACACTCTTACTGCACTCCGTTTCAACAGGCTTCAAGAGCTTAGCCCAATCTGCTGAGGAAAGATAACCAGCTCCACAAAGGCCCACTCAGCTTCCTGCCTGCCAAATTAATCTCACTTTAAGAAACTTGCCAATACGTTTCATGGAACCACACGCATTAATTGTTCGGGATTAGTAAACAGAGGAGACCACTTTAATTGCACTTTTAAGAAATAAATCAAATAAATAATGAAGAGCAGCTAAACCGCTGTCTTTCCTCTCTCCGTCTTTTTTTTTTTTCACCTCAACCGAAGCCGGCTGGAGCAGGAACAGCAGAACTGCTGCGTTACACGTCAGTCCCCCGACATGCGCCGGGGCAGAGAGTGGCGGAGCTTATGCAACACAAATGACACAAATCTGAAACAAAAAGGGCTTTTGTGATTCACCTTTGTGCCGTCAAGCCAAATTGAGCGTGAACATGAAGGCAAGATTAGGAATCGAGAGGAAAGAAAGACAGAAAAAAGCAAGGGGAGCTGAAAAATAATCATTTAAGATGCTTTGAAAATGATGGGAGGATGATGAAAGAGCAGCGGTAGAGCGAGCAGAGAGGAAACACAGAGTGGATGCAGAGCTGCCTTTGAAAGCAAAGCTGTCTGCTGGGTGTGTGTGTGTTTGAACATAAGTTTATGTCTGAATATTTGACTGATCGCTGCTTAGATTGGCAGAAAGTGAGTTCAAACTTTTGACTGCTTCAAAAGGAAGCGTGCATTTCCAAACAGTGAACATTTAGTGGTAATGCAAGTGGTTGCCTATTAAGTTTACAAAAACCTTCTGCAAGAAATCTCACTGTTTCAGTTCTGAATTGTCACAGAAATAAATAAATAAATATACACACAGTGCCAATCGCATAACTAACAGTTCCGTTTTTAATCTTTTTTAGATCAAATTCAAAAAGTTTAAAGAGCATGGGTAACATTTGTGTGCAGACATTGCACCAGAGAGTAAAATGTTTCAAAGTTACTTAACAATAATGGACAAAATTTGAAACAAGTGAGGGGTTCACAGGCTAGTCATGAGTTAGTTGGAGGCTTTACAGAAAAGCAACACTCATTCGCCATGATAACGTCCCACAGAGAAAAGAAAACAGAGCTGAGCTCGTGCTGATGGCAGCAGTTTATTTGTCAGCCAAAATTAAACCCATGAGAATGAATACACCTCACCAACAGTCACAATTGCTAAAGATTCCATCATACTGTGGTACTGCTCTGCTGCTTTTGTAAACATAAGGATTTAATCCATGAAAGAAATGATTAATTCAGAAATCGAGGCAATTAAAAAACAAAAAAACTTTGAAGTATGAAATTTGGTTTGAGGTTAAAGTCTTGTCTTTTCAGCACTATCGAGGGCCTTAAAATAACAGATGAAAGGGACAAGGCTCTAAACTCGCTAACATGGAATCTTGAAGGTTGTCATTCATTCTGAATGATGGGCAAATAAGTCAGAAGGTTGTCCATCATGCATTGAAGGTTGCCAAGGCATGACGGACTCATCAATGTAAATGGAGTAGTGAGAAAGTGGCCCAACTCCCAACTAATCCAGTTTATTGAAAGTGTACAGTTTTTTCACAGTCTGCTTTTCATAGTCCAACCATTCAAGATCATTAAGAACAGCACATTCCCCTTAATTAGTTAGGATTTTTTAGAGCACAAAAACCTTGAAGCAACCGTTAGCTCCAACTGTTTAAATGTGCTACTACAAAATACATTTTCTGTATATTGCCATTATAACTACTTTCTAATCTCTCCACAGTTCTGTGTGGAGAAGAACAATGTGACAACTCATAAAAAAAACCTAACTGAGGGGCAAGAAGAGGGCAAGAGTGTGTTTGGATGAGGCAGTGGGGGAAAGGCAGAGATGAAACGTACACTGGGCAGTACCACCAGGGGCAAATCTCAGCTTTTGTGGGTGCTGCCCTCAGGAGATGGCAGTAAACAGCTATCTAATCCGCTCCATTTGGTTGTCCTTCTTTCCTTTCCCCTCTCCCCCCTGCTTTCTCTTTCCAATTCGCATCTCCTTGTTTATTCTTCGTGTGCTGGCAGGCGGAGAGAAAATTTGCTCTGGGCCAAGACAACAATGGCCCACACCTTGCCACCAACATTGACCCGTTCAAGTGCGGCCGCTCAGACAAACACCGGCTCCCTACCAGAGGAGAGCGTGCGAGTTGGCCTGCGCAAGGAGAGCAACGAGGTCATCATTTGCGAGCGGTGAGGAAAAACGGGCGCAGTGTGTCCTGATGTTTGTGCGTGGGGGTGTGTGTTGGCTCTCCTGCAGCCGTCTTATTCACGAGTTGAGTGCAGCAACTGGCAAACACAGACCTGTTTCTCTCTGCTTGTTTCCTTGCGTAATGCCTTTTTTTCTTTGAGCTTCCTTTCCGCCGCTCTTGCACTATAGCACAGCCGCCAGTATCGGTGCCTCGGTGAAACCTTAACTAAGCTGTCACTTTACTGGAAGAGAAATGTTCCAAGTAGCTCTCTAATTTCATAGTCTTGTTAAGAAAACGACCAATCAGTTATCCACTCTGCCACTCTTATTGCAATGCAGAGAGAACAACACGAACAGGAGCCGCAACACACTCTAAATCATCTGCAGTAAGTTAGCGTGGGAGGGAAATCCATTGTATTCTGCGTGTGCGAGTCATTAGGGCTCAAATGATGAGAGGACAAATGGAATTCTGTATTGACACACGTATAATAAAGTGCATTGTCATTAGCATATAAATATACCAAATAATTACTACTTAAAGCCTTTGAAGCCAACAGACTGGCCTACATTTCCCATGCCCATCATTTGTAATTCAAAGAAAAAATAGAAATTCATAAAACAATCAATAAAACATAAATAATGAGATTTTGTCATATATATATATATATATATTCTGATGCACATCCATTTCAGGCCTGCCAGCACATTCCAAAAAAGGACGGGGCAGAAGCAATTTTAGGGCTGGTAATTAGGAGAAACGAAAAGACATTGTTTGAAACAGGTGCCATCAGCTTCGTAAATCTGCCTCTGATGAGCAAAGATGGATGGGTCTTCATTTTGTCAGCGAAAAAAGAAAGTTCTTCAAAGAAGATCTGGAAGGAATTAGCAATTTCCTCTGTCTTCAGCTTAAAATATTGAATAAATTAAATGAAACAATATGGTGTATTTTAATTGTGTAAAAGGCAAAGGTCCTAGCCTTAGTTGTACACAGGTGATCTCTGATCTTTTAGACCCCTCTGCATCGAGAATAACCTTCATCTTTTTTAGTGGAAAAAACACATTAAATCAATTAAATGCAACATTTTCATTGTCGGTCTTTCCTATGGGGAAAGAGCTTCAATGTGCTCTTCAATGTGTCTGCACCAGTCCTAAGGGAGCAAACAAGCTGCATATTTAGGGCTAATCTCATTTCCATTTTGGGGAGACTGAGTGGCAGTGATCATCTAATCCTGGAAACAAAGCGTGGTGGGCATTTAACAGGGCTGCAGGTCTGCCTACAAAACCGGAAGGTAAGGTCAAAGGGTGGGATTCAAATTCATGTTCAGTTTTGTTCTCGTGAAAAGTGGGATGTCATGTCACAGATGAATCAGATCATTCCAGACCCAGTGCTTCATCTTCTGCAACATGAATCCCACTCACAACCCCCCCCCCCCCCCCCCCCTGGAATCTGCTGCAGCACTAAACTCTCATTAGTTTTCCCCTGGCTGGCCTCCTCTTTCTCGATATAGTAATTAGCAATGACTAATGACTTGCAAGTTTAAAAAATGAGCCAGTAATGGCCATATTACAATGGATTAGTAATTGTAGAGGTTTAAACGAGAAAGAAAATGGTCTCTAATTATGGAGTGATTCTACAACAAATCGAGAACGGAGAAGGGCAACAGTACCTTCTCATTTTTCCTTAAGAATTAATGAGACAGATGTGTGTTCTTAATGACTGCTTACAACTAACCCCATATGTCTGTGGTGGATATGCTAGCCGAGGTGTAGAAAAGACCAAGAAAGTGGCAGTTGTAAATGAGTGACACCCTCTAAACGAAAACCTACAGATATGGACCTACTTTGAGTGAAGTATCCACAAACGTCTAACACCTGGTGTCAGATAGCGTATGCTGGATGATGGGCCCTGCTGTGCAATGAACCCAAGATAAATGAATTATGTTTATCTGCAACACATAGAAGGGAATCCACTGTTTGTTTTTCTTCAATCTCATAAGATAAACTGAGCATCTTACGCATTAATTATTATTAATTGCTTGAAAGAAAAGACTTCTGTAATATAACCTTTGCTATATTTAGCTTTGGCTGGGTTGTTACAAGACAAGTAGCTAAAATCTTTATGATTCCCAATAGTCTCCTTGGCCAAAATAACTAGCTCCCTAAAGCACACATAACCCTATGGGCATGATATTCGACTGAAATTAAGTATATAAAAGCATGATTCGTTTTTCTGTAATGCTGCTCATGCCCTGATCAGTGTTGGTCCTGAAACCACTGACCTGAGGGGAGTTTAGGTGATTCTGCTGTGGCTCCAGTCGGAGCTTAAGCCTCAGCAGACACACCATGTCGGATCGGTGTGCAACACATAATGCTTTCACAGCACTTCCGAGAGCAGGAAATATGCACTCTATGAAAATGTGCTTGTCTGTAGCTTGCATACTATTGGCAACTTCTCAACTCATTGCTCAGTATCCGTCTCAGTAGAACCATGTGATG